AATAATAATAATAATAGAACCCCAATTGATCAGCGCGTAACCTCACCTGGCCTCTCCCCAAGCAAACGCGGTCGTGGTACCGAAACGAGCTTCAAATCTCCGGGTATGCAAGGCATCACAACTCCGAATTATGCAAACATTGTTTTCAACGATGATGATGGTTACGGCTATGGAGATGAGGATGACACACAATTTGAAATGCTTCCGCCTCCACGGAAAACCTCACCGGCTTCAACGGAACCTCTCAAAGAAATAACCAAGGTTTGTCGATTGCCGAATTCACATTAGAAAAAAAAAACCATCACCGCTGCAATCCCAATTAACCCATGAACTCCATTTTTCAGGTAAAAATCAAAGTTTACGGAACTTCCGACACTCGCATAATTTTGGTACCAGCCGACATAATGTTCGCGGAACTCATGAGACGGATACAAGAAAAATTTGCATCGGATAAACCTCTGAAACTTAAATACAAGGATGATGATGGTTCGCTTATCAGTATGACCGACCAAGAGGATCTGGAAATTGCTATCGCAATGATACCAAGGACAACTAGTGAAATAGGCAGACTTGAGGTAAAGTTATTCTTTTGCTTTTCATATTGATGGACGTATGCATTTTAATTTTAATTTTTCGTATAATAGCTATGGGAGTAGGAGAATTGTGTCCTCCAAAGTTGTGAAGGAAAATATAATGGAAGGGACAAAAAAAAAAAAAAAGATTTTTTTGAAATTCGTAATTCGCACTTTAAGCTTGTTGGCGCTGGGTCGCCAAGAGTCTTCACAACAATCATATTAAATTGACCGATAGGGCTCACGTGAAATGTGTATGTGGCTTTTGTAATGGAAACGTTTGGTAAGGGGCACTTTCTCAACGAGTTCTTTTTGCGTTTAGCAAAATTTCAAAAGATTAACCAAAACCAATTCATATCCAGTTAGGACGGATTTCATTCAATTCTCGTTGCATGCACATTTCTCTGCCTGATCATTGGCATCATAAAATAATAACGCTGTTATATTATTTCCAAATTCTTTCGATCATATATATACATATGTAATTAATTATTCCTGTTAATAATAGACTTTTTCAACGCAAAAAAAAAAAAAAAAAAACATTTAAATCAGATTATCATTATCATTATCATTATTATTACTAAAACGAGGCTCTCTTATTAATACATTTAGTTTCCAGTCTCATTCATCAGACAAAAGTCTAGAAAATAGAGGATATTTGAATAATAGTTCTAGATATAACTAAAGCTTTATTTTTTCCGGAGTGGGTTCTTACCATAATTGCAATCAAGCCTTTGATTAGTGTTCTTTTTTCAAAATGTTTTTGTAAGAATTGTTTGCAAATTTACCATCTGATTGCATAAAGTAACCAGTTGATCATCTTTCATTTTAATTTATTAATATGCATGATAAAGTAGAATGTTTATTAGATCTATTTACTGTTAAATCAATGTTGAATGTTTATCTAGTTTCAAATATTAAAATATGTAGTCTACTATACTAAGTAAGTATCCTCAACGATGAAATGTATTGTTCTGAAGTAGTCAATCAGAGCTTGATATTGTTCAAGAGCCTTACTTATTTTTGATGCATGAAAAAACAGTCGAATCAAGATAACGGGTCGTTCTTGTCGGTTATGTTAATATTTTCTTTTGCCATTCAATAAACATTTAATATTAGTTGCTCTTCAACTCTCTCTGTCACGGATTACAAATTTTTCAGACATTGTATAGTTTCAAGCTCTATGCTTCTTATTATTATTGTTGATAAATAATAAAATTCATATTAAGGAAACTTGCTTAACCTAATTTCTTATATTATTTGTTTTTCCATACCACCTTAATTAATCAATTATACATTTCTTTTCCACGTTTGTATTATTGACTCTTGTGATGATTATATGTATATATATTTCAAAGTATCCTACTAGATTATTCGAATAGAACCCAAAGTTAAAGAAGACCAGAAAAGAAAAGAAACCATTATATATCTTGGATAAGTTAAAATTTCATTAGATATTTTCAATTGCCATGATCTTATTATATTACTAAATTTTTTTACAAACAGAAATTGATTGATTGATTGATTTTAATCATGTTTAATAGGGCCATTTAATTAAGAATAATTCATGGTCTTGTTAAATTGCTAATAACAAATTATGATTAACTTAAATATTGTATATACGATACATTATATTGTGTGATGTTATGTGTGTTTAAAAAATATATAATTATTATCACTCTGCATGCACTTGTAGAAAATTAATGTTTGAAATATGCCCGAAAGTTTTGTGATGCTTATTTTAATACCTGCATCTGACATTTTCAAATGGTGAACCTTGCAATTCTTTCTACTGCGGCAAATAGACATTAAAAACGGTGATCATTTGTGAAATATTTGAACGGATAAATGAAACGACAAAACTTATGGTGCAGAAAAATCCCTCGGAATTCCAAAAAACCGTTTGTATTTTATTATTGTAAGAAAGAAGAAATCGAAAAAAAAAAAAAAAAAAAATTCTTTTTTTTTTTAAAAAAGGTTATAGCGAGTCGAATGTTCAAATTCTTTTTTTTTTTTTCCGGCACATTCTGTGATATACTACTTTATATTATATAGTGTAAAAGTGTATAAAACCACAATGATGTGTAAATGTATAAATATGGTTTCGTAATGATAGTACACAGATACTACACAGCTAGTAATACATAATGTTAATTAACGTTATTATAGATATTGCAAAGTATATATATGAAATAAAAATAACCTATGATTGAGATAGGAAATTTTTATTACGGGCAAATCATCCCAGGTATTTGCAGTGTCTCTAGGGGATAAGATTTTAAAACGAAATGCACTACGATGTGATCATTACTGAGTAGGTTGTTGCTGCTGCTGGGTTTGCTGTCGTTGTTGTTTAACATAATGCACGAGGTCTTGGCCGTCCATTCCTAATGGGGAAAAAAATGTGTCACGTGAAATGTGTTCGCAAATGGAAATTTAAGAAATTTGGTTCAACAATACAAACTTGGATTGGAACTCGATGCGGTCTGGAAGAGTGATGACAAGTGCATCTGCCTCTGAAGCATCATTTGTTGTTGGGCCATCGTCTGTGGAGTTTGTTGTGTAGGTAATCTTGCAACCTGCATTTGTGGATTAACTCTTCGCTGCTGAAGCATCTGTTGCAGACCCGGTTGCTGCTGTAATTGCTGTTGAAGTGCTTGAAGCGCTTGCTGTTGTTGTAGTATAGTCGATTGCAACAGTTGTTGCTGGGACTGCATCGGTTGTTGTTGTTGTTGTTGTTGAACTTGCTGTTGACGTAATAACAACTGTTGTTGTAAAATCTGTTGTTGCAGAGCTAACTGAACATGAGTTTGTTGTGCCTGTGCATGTGCTTGTGCCTGTGCCTGTGCCTGTGCTTGTGCCTGTGCTTGAGCTTGTGCTTGAGCTTGAGCTTGTGCCTGTGCCTGTGACTGCGCTTGTGACTGTGACTGCGCTTGTGACTGTGACTGCGCTTGTTGTTGGGATGTAACAGTTAAACTTGTCGGCAGTGGTGAATCCAGGAAAAGTAGACCAACAAGTTTAGGCCCATTCGTAAATAAAACTACGCCGCCGTTAGAATTAGGTGCATTTGGGAAGCGCGCAAAGGCGGCCTAAATTCAATAGGAAATAGAAATGAATATGATAATCGATAAAACGTTGCACACTATTTAATTCCAAGCATCACGCTTAAAGTTGATTAGTTGTTTGGTAACAAATTCCGTACCAATTTTTTACTCTCTAAAATACGCATCAAAACTGTAAACGTATTTTGATTATCCGTTGAGGCTGCGGACGATGGGGTCGGTAAAAACGAAACAACATGCAGTTTCGGATTATTCCCGGCATCTTTTATGAAATCTTTAGCGTGGTTTATGCTAGATATTTCCATTTTTTCGGGCCAAACATGCGTCATACTAAGTTTAACAAGATCGTAAGTCAGAAATCAAACAATTAATTATATATTTACATATATGCATCGATATCTATATACAGTATATGCATGAAATGAATCCTTACTAATCATTCAGCGAAGAAGGACCAGTCCTCCTATTTGGATGGGGGAAAGCGGTCACATGGCAGGTGAGTTCACGTTTGAATCCATTCTGTTGACCACCTGTTGCCCATGCAATATAACCACTCCACAGGGCGTTAAGTGTTTTAGGTATGTTCGGTCGTATCTGGTTTGCGTTGACACCAGCCGCTGAGGCGGCCGAACTTGTCACATTATTTATACCTATCGAACTATTGACCGCCGGATTGGTGGTTATTATACCGTTAGGAGCTGCTGACAAAGAAGACATCCCAACCGTCGCTGAAGTCGTTGGAATTCGTGCATTTAACGTTGTAGGCGGGAATGCAAGAACTGGTTGAGAAGATGAACCAGACGGATTAAAGCCACCAATATTTTGTGCGTTCACAACGGAACCCAAAGATGGTGAGGTAGCATAACTGTTGAGAGACTGTGTATCAGTGCCAATCGGCGAAGTGGTAGTCGTGTAACTTGGACCAATCCCTCCAGAGTTCACAAATTGTTGACGTCTCAAAACATCCACAAGATTTTGCTGACTCGCTAGTAATTCATGCTGTAATAATTTGTTTTTCTGGATGAGTTGTTGAGCATTCATAAAATGCAACACATTTTGCGGCACAGGTCGCGCACCACCCACTGCAGATGACAACGAGTTAGCAAGTTGAGCAGAGACGGTTTGTTGGGGTATCTGTTGTGGAACCTTCATAGGTGATTGTTGCTGTTGTTGTATTTGGTTGACGGTAACAGTTGATATCGCCGAAGCGGGAGCTACATTCGACACGACGGGCGAGGACCGTGGAACCTTGGGACTACTTACTTGTGATTTACTACCGGATGGATTGCTGGGTGGTTGCTGAACGGGTAAGACTGGTGAAGAAACCTGTTTTTTCGTGTCCGAAGCAACCTCCGACGGTCGACTAGCAGAAACGCTTTGAACTTGCTCTCTTGATTGCTCATCAACATTTTCGAGTTTGACCTTTTTGCTTTCCGGCGAAGAACTTGCCGAGCTCGTAGATGTCGGCTGTTCACTAGTGTGCGAATCACTTATGGGCGTGGAGTCCTCGCGTTTCCTTTTTTTTTCCGCCATCACTATATCAACATCATTCATGTTTAGTCACGTGTCAAGTGAAAAAAAGCAATGTGGTGAGTAGTGAATCCTTAATTATCGACCTACCTTCAGTGGGCTGTGAAAAAGGTACTTTGAAATTTGCCAACTTCACGACATGCGAAGAATCTATTACATCAGGAGCATCATGAACTTCAATGTTTCGATTAACCTATATTACCATAAATCGTTAGTAGGTAGAATTGACGAGAAGAGGAGGAGGGAGGAATGGAAAGAAGGAAGAAAAAAGGGCATAGATTGCTTGGTTACCATTTCAACTAGATTTTCTAATTCGTCAAAGCCCTTTTCTGGAGTGATTAATGAGAGGTAAATACTTTGCTATGGTCGACAAATAAATTTAAAGAACGATGAGTATTACAAATGTGCTACGCCGCAATTAATTTTTTATCCATCAAAATTACTTTATGCATCTCTTCGGCTACTTGCTCAATGGTGTAATCATCGTATTTACTACTTATATTTCGATGAACGGGATCTGGACACGGATGACTATTGGATATTAAAACGCAATGCCTTTTCGGCTGTGGTGCGTCGGACTCCATCTGCGATGTATGCAAATCGAACATCTGATGAAAAAGCAGATGAAATTTTACGAGAATTAACATTTTGAAGAAGGATGTGTTCTCACAATAGAAAAATAAAAGAAAGATTTTTTTTTTTTTTTTTTTTTTTATATTTACTTCAAGTGCTGAAACCAAACCCTCTGCCACCGCATTCTCGTACATCCCTCCATTAGCAAACTCTATCCCCGTTATAAGTTCTTCAAACTGTGATAAGCTCTCAAAGTAATGTGACTTGACGGGTATAGGTGAATATGGTTCATAATGTCCAAAAGTAACGAGACCACACCTCAAATTGGGCTATAATAATACAAGTACAAAAGATATCAGGAAATCTTTCTTCGCACACCAATATTCTTCCCTCTTTTCTTAAATAAGCCTTACCCAAATTTTTTCTTTTCTCTCTTTATCCTCTACATATGGAGACTTTAAATGCCTATTAACAACGATGTTGAGATAATTTCAGTTTTTTTTGTTTTCTTATTTTCCTTTTTCTTTTTTGACTACTTTAAAACAAACACAAAACCCCGCAACATTTTTTTCAAACAAGTCAAAACCAAAGGATCCAACTTTTGTTCAGCCTCAGTTATCTAACAACCATTCTTACTTAAGTATTGACTCTAGGTAAGCTTTAAAAATGGTTTCAGAATGGTTTTCTAGTCGAAAAGTCCCGTCGACAACCACCACCACCAGGCACTCGGGTGGTGAAGTACCTTTATTTTTTTGCGGCATATTTATTAATAGAGATGTACGGAAAAATGAGGAAAACCGAGTTGAATCTATGAATTGAGCAAAAAAGCCCCACACGGGTGGTATTCCATTTTATAGAGTACACCAATGCACGTACTTGCGTAAGCTAGGAATTACCAAATATAGTATGTGTGTGAAGAGGAAGATTGTTATACAAGTCACATGTATTTTTCTTCCGAACATAAATTATTTGATACAAAATGTAATCACATGATACAATTATTTACTAACAAATAAGGCCTAGTGCTATCTTCATTATCAAAATTCGTTCGTTCGTTGTTATAATAATATATGCAATTAAATATGATGGTTTTACATGATTCACACTTTTGATTTGAGTAGTCCTTCGCAAATCGGTTTAACCTTAGAATAAACAACATCGACGCTGTCTGTGCAAGAAATCTAACGTGCGTACATGTAGATTCAGAATATTGGGCGGAGCGGCGGGAAACAAAAAAACCTCTGAAGATCACGGCGGGACTTACCGTATGAACTTTATTCAACTTTTTATAATGTTCCACGACCGGATAGCTTGTCTCGATAAAGGTTTTGAATCGTTTGGTAATGCTTTCGATATTATCATCTATACGTCCACTGGTTTCACCACGTTTTAAAAGTCGTTCGAGCATAACCTCCTCGGTGCATTCGAAATAGAGGATGGACGCTGGTTCCACCACCTTTGGGAAATCAGAATAACAAATTAGTGGATGTTTGTCGCGTAACGACTTTATTGCGTACATACTTCATCTTCGAATTGAAGGGCCTGATGCATCTCCCTCGGAAATCCGTCAATTAAAACTCTATCGCAATCGTTTTCAATCATCGCCTTATAAAGTAATGCGATCGTGATATCTGAGGGCACAATCTTTCCATTCTTAATGTAATCTTGAATCAACCCTCCGAATTCGGATCCCGGGCGTTTTTGTTCCTCTCGTAATAAATCACCGGCTGTTGTGATGGTGAAAGGTTGTCAGAAATCACGAAAACTCCAAAAAAGTTTTCCGGTGAATTTTTTAAAGAAATATAAAGTTAATAATATTAATTTCACCAGACAGATGGAGGAATCCAAAATCTTCGACCATCTTTGCGCATTGGGTACCTTTACCCGAACCGGGTCCACCTGTCGCGCATACAGACATATAATCATGATGAGTTTTCTTTTTTTTTAAAAAAAAGAGAATCGTTTTAACGATGGAAAACACAGAATCACCTACCCAGTACGAAAATCACTGTAATGTCATCCTTGGAAAGTTTGGCTTTCGAAGTTTTGCTCATCTTCCTATATAAAAAGGCGATAAAGTCATTCAATGATACCATTTTAAAATACCGTCTGGCATAAAATTCCACCAATACATACCTTCCCTCGTAAGAGTGACGCTCTTTAAAAGAAATGAAGATTCTAAAGAGTGCCCCCTAGATATACAGATTTGCAGGACATAAATGGAAATTTACGTCACACCCGATTGGTGACGCAAATCGCGATTGGCAATTCAATTCTTTAATTTTTTATTTCAAATAAAACATTGTAGATAAATATTTATATACTGTATGTATTTTCTTTTAAAAAATTTTTATTAATTATTTTGTTGTTTTATTTATTATTATTATTATTTGATTATAAATTAATATATGGAATTTATTATTATTATTATTATTATAATCAAACAAGTACATATTATTTATTAAATCTTTACAAAAAACAAAAAATATATTATATTTTCTAAATTATTCTACTGCCTTGAATACTAGTTTTAGACTATATCTTTAGATATAATCTTGAAGATAAAAAAAAATTTTTTTTTAAATATTTATTTATTCCAAAAATTTAAAATTTAAAATTATTTTTTACAATTAGAATTTCTAATAATATTATTTAATATCAAATTAGTATTGAATTTACTATAAGTTTAATAAAATAGACTATAACTACAGTCAAACCTTTTTATATCAATATGCCTGGATCAGATCATTTGTATCATTATAACCAGTTTATTGGTATAAAAATTGACTTTTTACTATATATTATAATAAACAGGTAAACAAAATTATATCGGTATAACTAGAAATTATTATAAAAAATATCGTTATAAAGATATTTGACTGTATATATTAAATTGATTATTATTTCAATATTATTTCAATATTAATTTATTTAATAAAATCTAAACTATTTTTATAATTATATTTTTTTTTTATAATTTTTTTTTAAATTAATGGTCTGTTTTAAACTTATATAAAATTTAAATTATCTATAATATCTTTTATTAAAAAATTTTGTAAATTTTGTTATTATTTTTTTATTATTTATTATTTATTATTTTTGACTTTTTTTTTAGTTTTAATATTGTTGCTTCTTTTATTTTTGATTTTTATTTAATTTTTATAATTTAAAATATTTTTTATTTTATATATATTTTTTAATTTATTTGCAAATTAATTTAAAAACCTTTTTAATAAATACTTGGTTTTATTATTTTAAACCTTTAATTTTATTATTATTAATATTTTTTTTATAATATTTTTTTATAAAAAATTTTATGTATATATTATTTTTATAATATTAATTTGTATATTTTAAGTTTTTGTTTTTTAAATATTTTTTAATTATTTGTTATCAATTGATCTTAATCTTTTTTTTATTTATTTATTTTGTAAAGTTTTTTCAATAAATAAATATTATTTTTTTATTGGATTTATATACATTAAGATATATATTATTAAAAAAATAATATCTCTTAAATATAAAGCATATAGCAAGTTAAATATTAACTTGTTTATATATAATATTTAATTAATATCAAAAAAAAATTTAAAAATAATTAATATATTAAATATAGTTAAATAATAATTATGTTAATTAATTCTAAATTTTTATAAAATAAAGTATAAAAAAAAAAATAAAACAAATATATATATTTTTTTTTTTAGAGTGAAACGTGCATATAGTGTATAATTTTTATTGATATGTTTATATATTCAAACAGATATCAAGTATCTCTACAAATTAACCAGAAATCGGTTGGTACAGGATATCCTTTTATATCTCTACAGTTAATCTGCAAATTAATACTATCTAGTATATATATTACTATAAGACTAGCTATACTAATCACTATTACCTAATTATGTGTTTATTTAAATATCTCGAGAATGTGTCCACATGTCAGGTGGAACTTTCACAAGAGAGGAATCCTATCACTAGTTTAAACATACCTAAACCTGCTAGTTTATTATTGCAGGGAGCAAGTTATTATGAAATATTATTATAGAAACTAATCTTAGTATTCCAGATATTGTTATTGCCAATTTTTAAGATGTGTCACTAGTATAGTATTGTACTACTATTTTCACCATCTGTAAAATTGACATTCTTGCTTGAATTTCGATTTAATTTTAACAATTCTCATCAGACTCACTTGGTCTTAATAATTTTTGCTTGGATTGTTACTATCTGTAACAGATGACCTTTGTCTTTTCAATTCATTTTAAATTCAGGAGAACATTATCTTGGGATAGATCTTTAAGCTTCAGATTGGAATAGATCAGCTTAGAATTGGTCTCTTTTATATTGTATGACGAAATCTGCCATCACCAATTTGGATTAGAATTTGTAGGCTTATACCAGAGTTAAACCAAAAGTCTTTTCTTATACAACCTTTTTTGCTTTGATCTGTTTTCAGTCTATAATTATTATAAAGACCAAAGATCCCATCTTCAAGCAGCCTAATTAAATTTAGAAATTGATTTTTGACTGATTGAATATAACATGAATTAGAAGCTAGTCAACTAATTATGAAGGTGATAAATTTTGTAACCAGGTGGGTTTAAATTCTAAATTTTTTTCTAGTGACCTATGGAGCATTACTACTATACTATAAACTTATAGGTCTAAAATAAAACAAATATTATTAAAATTAAAACTAAGTCAAATATATTATAAAATATGTAAAAATAAAAATTATCTTTCAAGAAAATTATTAATTAAACTTATTTATTTTAACTTTTTAATATCTTAAAATTTGTAAGTAAGAATTCTAATAATTTAATTTAATTATTAATTCTCAAGTTTATATTAAATTTAATATATAGATTATAACAGTTAAGGGACATTTCCCTCCCGTTGTTGTTACACACAATATAAATTGTATTATAAAAATAACATTTTG